TTATTATTATTATTATTATTATTTTATTATATCATTGGGTAACGTATAATGTGTTAATTGTAACAAGACAACACTGTAACATGAACACTGCAGTGCTGTTAACGGACCAGATGTGTTAGAAATGCGGTAATGACATCAAAGCATCATGAAAGCGTCACTTATAAAACGTAGTCTATAGCCTGTAGACTAATCTGGAAGAATTAATCTGCTGGTTCTTAATAGACTGCATTTTCACATTCCTACGGCCTTGACAGTCACTCCAGCATGTGTGACTCATATTGACGACATGACCGTTATTGAAAACGTTCCTTTTCAGAGAGAAATTCATTTTTTCCACAATATTATCATATTTTGTTTTAGTATATACTCTGACACACACAGAGAGGCCAGCGCACATTTGATATTGTGATATTTTAAAGTGCTAATGGATACATGCATTAGCATGTTTTGCTGTTTCATAAAAGGTTTGTGCATTACGTGTACATAAAACTGTTCAGTGTGTGTGTGTGTGTGTGTGTGTGTGTGTGTGTGTGTGTGTGCGTGAGAGAGCGAGAGAGAGAGAGAGAGAGAGTGGAGTCAGCTGTCTTAACCGTGGCTTGTGTACTGCAAACACATTGGATGTGAAATGAAAATTTTAATTAATACAGTAATGCTATTACACCTCGGTGTGCAAATCCCATTCCCCATCCCTGCGACAATATAGACAAAAGTACAGGCCAATTCCAATCCTCTGTTTGCAGCCCAAACCCAATTGTTCTGCGAGCTTGTTTCCTTTGAGTGAATCCCATTCACACATCTGCTTTAGTTTCAGCAACACTTTTTTTTAATTTTTTTTGTAATACAGGAGAAGAACTTGTACCAACTGTGTTGAATTACAGTATTATATTAATCTTGACCAATTGTGAAAGAAATATAGACTAGCAGTTATTCTGAACGAGTTGTAACATGTTTGCTGTTCACATCAGAAGTCAAATTATTTAATAGAAAAGAACAATGAAACTGAATTAAAGGCACAACGGCATTTGAAAACATTGCACATATTAATATTTTTACATTAAACCAAAAAGCCATTACTTGTAAATGCAAGTAATGGCAAATTTAGTTGGCATAAATTTTACTATTATCATTGTTTTCGTTATTATTGTTATTATTATTATTATTATTATTATTGTTATTATTATTATTGAGAGCTTAGATTAAAAAAAATTATATTTAGGCTCGATATTTATTTTACGGGAGTGGATAAGAATTTACGGGCGAGTAAAAGCCAAGCAACGTCACATTTTACACGTAGACTTAGTTAATAAAGAAGGTGTTAATTAATTTGATTTGAGAAATGTATAGCAGTGTGTTTCTGTCGGTAAAGTGTTGGAATGATCTAAGCGGTGGAACAGGTGGAACAATCATAGAGTCCCTGAAGGGTGAACCGTTACACAACCACACATCATAGAGTGTGATCGCCTTATTTCAGAGACATGACACACACCTGAATGCCGAAAGTTTTACACTCTGAACACAGCAACTCGCGCGTTTTACAGGAAAATATGAGTTTACAATATAATAAAATTATAAAAAGAAAGAAAGAAAGAAAGAAAGAAAGAAAGTCGTCAACAAGCCGACTGGAAAATGGAGATGGTAATGTAAACTGGCAGCCACATCTGCAGTCTTCTCCAATGTGTCACAGCGCGTTTGGCACAGATTTTAAAGCACCTGACGCTTTGTTAAATTGTTTTTATTGGAAATTGTTTTGTAATACTAAATGGCATGACTCATACTCGCACCACCCCTTCTTCAGTCCAATTTCCATCCTATTGTGGGTCTCAGGGTAAATCACAATTCATGTTCGCCCTCAGTTTCCCTAAGCGTCCCTGTACAGTAATTGTTTTGCCATTTAATTTGGACCGGCGGTCCCTATAGAGCAGTCGGGAACGCCACGCGCTGACAGAGTTCATCTCAAATCTATGCCGAAAAGCCAGATGGTTATTAGGCAGCGTCCGCCGAAACGTTTGACTATTTAAGCTGTGCTGATTGAAAAGATAATTATTGTAGATATCTAATCGGTGCAAGATCAATTTCAGTTTTATGTTCAGCAGTTAAGGCCTGTGCTGTTCTCTCTACCCGGAAAAAAAATAAAAAATAATATTTTAATGCACAAATAAAACCCGCTAAATTCTGGAAGTTGGAAGTTGTAAAACATTATAAAACGCATGTTCGGGATCACTGTACTTACTGACATGCCTGTTACCTTTTGGCACGACTATATAAGAGCATAGTCAAAAAGAAGATTCATAAATAGTTTAAACAGGCAATGTAACAAGGGTTATGCATTTTTAAGACAGATTGTCTTTATTCAAAATGTCTTTGCTCGGCAAATGAACAAAGAGTCGAGGTATCACCCTTTTAGATACATTTTCCTTTCCATTAACATGACAGAATTTAAGTTACCATCGCAGATAAAAAATACAACATGAACTGCTTCGCTTCAAACTTTATGTTCCTTCTGAAATCAAATGAACGTGTGACTATCACTGAACCACAGGGAAAAAATGTCCAAATTAAAAATATTGAAGGATAATACTTTTTTTCTTTTTCTTTTGATATTTTAAATAGACCGTCTACTTTTAGGTGCCGGTTTGATCATAATAAACAATATAACCCGTATAATCTATTAAACGCTGAATTTCTTACTTTGAAATACTTAAAGTCGTATCATTTGAATTTCAGAGTGCCAAAAAGAATGGTGAATACAACAGGCTGTACAAGAAACATGAATCCTAACCGTTAGTTGTGCAAATCAAAGACATTCAAATAATAATAAAAATATGATGAGAACAACAATTATATTAAGTGTTCAAACAAAAGTAGCATTACTATAGCATCAAATTGTACATAATAAATAAAATTAAAGGCATCCAAACCCGGTAGCCATAATAATAAACGTTTGAACATTTACATTTCTTACAGTTCTGGGCACCTGCCTTACATCTATTCCAAGATCCAAGTTGGTGAAAAGTTCATGTCCACACGGACTCAGTATAAATGTCTTGATCATTCCTCTCTTCTTATGTACATGCATTGCTGTATTCAAGTTTTCAAAAGAGGAGACTGTTTTTAGTGGTGGAGTCACATAGCAGTGGCATGTGCTGATGAGTACGGGTCAATCCCACTCTTGGTCATACCTGGGAACAGTATGTAGGCAACAGGCGGCTGTAAACTCGATGCCGACCATGCGGTGCAGTTACACGGCACCACGTATCCAGGGTTTGTGGGCGACGGGTGGGTGTGGGTGTGTTGGCTGGGGCAACCCAGGCTCCCGAATGCGCCGTTCTGGTATCCCAGAGATGATGCGTAAGGTAAAGTGCTGGTGGCCAAAGTATGGGGCATCTCTGTCATCTTCTGGATAGCGCTGGAGCTAAACTGGCTCGGGTCGAGGAAGGAGTAAGGGACTGATGTGGGTGGCAGGAACGCACGGGCTTTTTCCGAGGATCCTAAAAGCGAGTCCGTGGCTGAGAGCGGAAGTCCTTTCAGGTGATCCGTGTCGCCCAGGTAGGGCAGAGGAAACACGTACCTGTCCTTCTTGAGGAGGTTCTTGGGTTTGCGCCTGGGTCTGTATTTGTAGTCTGGGTGTTCTTTCATGTGTTGAGCCCTCAGCCTCTTGGCTTCGTCGATGTACGGTCGCTTCTCGGATTCAGAGAGCAGCTTCCACTCGGCGCCAAGTCTTTTGCTTATTTCTGAATTGTGCATTTTGGGATTCTCTTGAGCCATTTTCCTCCTCTGGCCTCTTGACCATACTACGCAGGCGTTCATGGGTCTCTTGATGTGATCTACCGGCTTTGACATTTTTACGGTTCCCTGTTAAAATAACCCCCTCAAAAAAAAAAAATCGGGATCACTGTACTTACTGACATGCCTGTTACCTTTTGGCACGACTATATAAGAGCATAGTCAAAAAGAAGATTCATAAATAGTTTAAACAGGCAATGTAACAAGGGTTATGCATTTTTAAGACAGATTGTCTTTATTCAAAATGTCTTTGCTCGGCAAATGAACAAAGAGTCGAGGTATCACCCTTTTAGATACATTTTCCTTTCCATTAACATGACAGAATTTAAGTTACCATCGCAGATAAAAAATACAACATGAACTGCTTCGCTTCAAACTTTATGTTCCTTCTGAAATCAAATGAACGTGTGACTATCACTGAACCACAGGGAAAAAATGTCCAAATTAAAAATATTGAAGGATAATACTTTTTTTCTTTTTCTTTTGATATTTTAAATAGACCGTCTACTTTTAGGTGCCGGTTTGATCATAATAAACAATATAACCCGTATAATCTATTAAACGCTGAATTTCTTACTTTGAAATACTTAAAGTCGTATCATTTGAATTTCAGAGTGCCAAAAAAAGAATGGTAAATACAACAGGCTGTACAAGAAACATGAATCCTAACCGTTAGTTGTGCAAATCAAAGACATTCAAATAATAATAAAAATATGATGAGAACAACAATTATATTAAGTGTTCAAACAAAAGTAGCATTACTATAGCATCAAATTGTACATAATAAATAAAATTAAAGGCATCCAAACCCGGTAGCCATAATAATAAACGTTTGAACATTTACATTTCTTACAGTTCTGGGCACCTGCCTTACATCTATTCCAAGATCCAAGTTGGTGAAAAGTTCATGTCCACACGGACTCAGTATAAATGTCTTGATCATTCCTCTCTTCTTATGTACATGCATTGCTGTATTCAAGTTTTCAAAAGAGGAGACTGTTTTTAGTGGTGGAGTCACATAGCAGTGGCATGTGCTGATGAGTACGGGTCAATCCCACTCTTGGTCATACCTGGGAACAGTATGTAGGCAACAGGCGGCTGTAAACTCGATGCCGACCATGCGGTGCAGTTACACGGCACCACGTATCCAGGGTTTGTGGGCGACGGGTGGGTGTGGGTGTGTTGGCTGGGGCAACCCAGGCTCCCGAATGCGCCGTTCTGGTATCCCAGAGATGATGCGTAAGGTAAAGTGCTGGTGGCCAAAGTATGGGGCATCTCTGTCATCTTCTGGATAGCGCTGGAGCTAAACTGGCTCGGGTCGAGGAAGGAGTAAGGGACTGATGTGGGTGGCAGGAACGCACGGGCTTTTTCCGAGGATCCTAAAAGCGAGTCCGTGGCTGAGAGCGGAAGTCCTTTCAGGTGATCCGTGTCGCCCAGGTAGGGCAGAGGAAACACGTACCTGTCCTTCTTGAGGAGGTTCTTGGGTTTGCGCCTGGGTCTGTATTTGTAGTCTGGGTGTTCTTTCATGTGTTGAGCCCTCAGCCTCTTGGCCTCGTCGATGTATGGTCGCTTCTCGGATTCAGAGAGCAGCTTCCATTCGGCGCCAAGTCTTTTGCTTATTTCTGAATTGTGCATTTTGGGATTCTCTTGAGCCATTTTCCTCCTCTGGCCTCTTGACCAGACCATGAAGGCGTTCATGGGTCTCTTGATGTGATCTACCGGCTTTGACATTTTTACGGTTCCCTGTTAAAATAAGAACAAAAAGTTCTTCGACCAACCAAGAGAAAATAGTATTCACCTGTCCTGCAGACAGACACAGATCATGCCACTTCTGGAGAGCTGGAGGAGTAGGAAAACGGCATCAATGGGGGAAAAATCCAGTAATTCGTCCGTGTTTGTCATAAAGTTGAAAGATTTTTTTTTTCAAAACGACACTATTCGGCTGAGAGAAGAACAGCCACGCGCGCTACAAAATCCAGCGCGGCAAGCGAAGTTTCCGCGATCTGTTTGCGCGCTTTTTTTCTCGGAGGATTCTCGCCCCGCGAAGCACCTGGCTGGGAAATGAGGAGAAGCGCGTGAATGAGAGCCAAAAGCGGTGAAGTTCAAAGGCTGGGCTGGTTCGCTCTGCACGCGATCTGACATAATCGCAGGGCGTTCACGCGCCAACCTGAGCGCCCAATCAGCTCTGAGAAAGCCACATAATACCTACCAAAATATGTATATTACAACACAAACAAAGATCGGGGAGGAAAAGGAGGTGACTCTCTTCCCTCCCCAAATCCATTTAGTTGAAGGTCTACAAACACAGACCTTCAACCTTTTTGTAATAAAACCTGACATCTACCAGCGTCAATCCTTCAGAGACGACAGATGCCTGAAGAATAGACAAATTCTTATTTTAAACATCGCTGTCCTTATACGAACACGGTTCTAGGTGTAAGCTTTATTTACTTAAAATATTTTGACAGTTTATCTGACGTGTATCTTCCTTTTTATTATCATTACTCATATTTACTTTTACAGCAGAATTGTTTTTATTAGATAACATATTGCTTATTAGATAACAGTTGTTGTTTATTTTTATTTATTTTTTTTAGATAAATTAAAAGCGCATATGGCAAGCTTAATAATTAAAACCTCAATGCGCAAATACTGAAATGTCTAAACAAGAGAAATAATGAAAAGACAAACGGTATTAAATATCTCTGAAAATAAGCGTGCTGTCTGAGGCAGTGGCCCCCAGGCCAATATTTCCTAAATGAGAACAATTGTCCAAAGCTCTCCTGGGACAGGCTGGGTTGGGGCTTGTACCTGTTTTGCTGCTGTAATCTCACATGTGTAGAACATGCCCATGGACCCTTTCTCAATGGTAACATACCCACGCAATTCTGGCATTGTGAGAACAATTGCTCATAGAATCATTACATCCCACAATTAAAACTTGCGCTGGGTGATGTGTTTTTGTTTTAATTTGTGACTATTTCTAACAGATATTTGCACGAATTCTGGCAGAATTATTTATTAAATGATTCAGATTTCATGTAATTGCTTTAAACATTAGATTCATGGTCACAGTAAAGTTACTTAATTATTTTCAGTAGAGCATATTTTACATTGAAACTGCGAGTAATTATCCCTGTCGTTCTCCTGATCTTTTGCTCCTTTTCTCTTTTATATATGGCAAATAAACTTCCGAATTCATTTACAATTGTCAAAATCCACCCATATGTGTGAACAGAAGTACTACTAATTCAAGGCAATGTTTTGTGTTAAGGTTCGCACACTAAAACCTTTAACATGCAAATTTGAGTGTTTAAAAAAGATCAGGGTCTTAATGAGCCTGAGGCAAGGAGCTTGATATATGAGAGGCACGGGTGTAATTATTAAGTGAAATGTATAAGATATGTGATATCTCGAGGAGGGGCCTTCAAGCGTGACATGAAGAGGGATCTGTCTGTAATTTAGCACACGAACATATAGGCTATTGTATCTTATTACACGATACAGCGTTATTTCAAAGCATGCAGGTATTAATCTAAATGTTGAGAGATAAATGTCGTACGTAGGCCTATGTATGCATTCCAATAAGTGTTAATTCATTCATTTACTTATTTATTTATTTTTACTTATTTATGGGTTTGTCTGTGATTTGTGCGTTTGGACTTTGTTCACCCCAAAGCGTAAAATATCTGTCAAACCTATTTTATTTTATTTATTTATTTCTGACCGGCGAGGGGTATTTAGTTGATTATGCACTTCATTTGTATTTTTGTATGTTATTATTATTATTATTATTATTATTATTATTCGCTCAGTTTTACTCTTCCAAGGTCACATAATAGCTGAATATTAATGCAGATGTATTGATTTTCACAGACATATGCACGAGTTTTAGCCTTGCAGCTTGTAGGTGAGGATGGTTTATTGTTAGCCTTAAGAATTATTTTTATTTCTGCTACTCTTGTTGTAACTTTATTTTGCAGTGCAACATAACTCCTTTTTTGTTCATTTCACGTTTTTTAAACAATATCTGCATATTAAACGTAGTTATCAATGCCATATCTTCTGACAAAAATAAAAACAGCCGTTGACGTTCAATATAATTTAGTGATCAAAATCCATGAACTTATATTTAACTTTTTTTTTTTCTTTCAATTAAGCTAAAACCCATGTGTATATAAATCCTCAATGAGGCGCTGATGGAAAATGCATCTGTGGAGCATGAAGTGTGTTTCTTAGTGGTGCCGGCTCGATATCCATCAAGCTTTCCCGTTCCACCGCCTCTCAGCCTCCCTCTCCATTTCAGAGCACAGCCGAGAGCAGTGCACCAGAACACCAGCCTGATAGAAACAGAAATTACAACGGGAATTAACAGAAATTATTGGGGCACACAGCATTTGACATAGAGACGATGTACTCAAAGCCAAATGAAGTGAGATTTGTGAAATCAAGCACGCTGAGGCGCGCGCGTCATTAAATGGGAGCTCGTCATAATGGAGGAGATATTCCGCGTGCATACTATGGATCGCTCACGTGCGCAAAGTGAACTGTTTGCGCCTCTTTTATGCGCTTACCGAGGAGTCTAGCATCCCACCAACGCATGCAAAGGTGTGCATGTATATTCATGTTTTGATGTGTGAGATATTG